AATCCCTCATGAAGTCCGTCGCGGAGGTGTTCGGCACCGATGTAGTAAAAGGATGTTTATTCCGCTTCACACAGGCAGTGATAAGAAGCGTCAGAAAACATGGTTTGATGATGTTTTACAGTGAAGGAGGCGTCATTCGCCAATGGATCCGTCGGATACCTGCGCTACCACTTCTCCCACATGGTTGGTTGCAGTGCACTTGAATTCAGACAACAGCTTACACTGAATTTGCAATGAATACTTCTTCAGAGCACATCATTTATGTGTGGAATTTGGTGCTGGAAAGTGTGCCTGAGCCGCCCCCCTCATGGGTGCTGCCACCAAAGATGACGGCTTGGCCTCAGAAAGAGCTCCACGGATTTAAGCGCTATTTCGAGAGGTACTGGATGGCAATGCCGTTGCGAAGATGGAACCACTTCAGTGCAGAAGTCCGAACAACGAATGCAGCCGAAGCATATCACTCACTATTATCCAGGTACACTACGGACAAGCACATATTCATCGTATATATTTACACTTCATGTTTGTTTTGGAGAGCTGTCTGTAGAGTNCTACGGACAAGCACATATTCATCGTATATATTTACACTTCATGTTTGTTTTGGAGAGCTGTCTGTAGAGTGCTAATTGCGAAAGTTTAAGGCAGTGGCGGGTATCCCCGAACCCCACAATCGAACTGTACCTCGCTCACTTGCAAATGCGTCATTCGGAGCATCTGACGCGTATGCAACAACTTGAGGAAGGACGTGCTGCAAAATTAAGAAGCATAAAGTACGTTCGTCTGGATCACCGACTGGCGAAGTACATGCGTGTATATCAGGTACATACTCACAGTTCTGCCCTGTCCGAACATTCTGAGAAATACAAGCTCAATCACCTTCTCTCGTTAATAGCAAATATTACACTCTACCGACTGCAGGTTAATATGAGCAGACGCAGTGCAAGCGACCCATCCAATATGTGGCTTGTAACATTGCCTTATCTGGATCGAGTGCAATACCTGTTGTCCGATACAGATTCAACGGGACTTCGAAGCAGGAAATCAGCTCGATACCAGCATAAGCAAGTTGTCGAAAGTATCAACAAGAATGTCACTGCAACTGCTGCCGTACACCATGCACCTAGAGCTAATAAGCTTGATGCTATAT